GGGGACATTAGTGACTTAGGGGGAAAGCATGATGGCCCTAAACAAGTGAAGTTGTCCCACTATCCCCAGCACAAATTTGGAGTAAAAAAAACTTTCATTTAATTCAAAATGGTTTGAAAGCTTTTTGTGAATGAAAAAGAAAGCCTTGTCATCAAGGATATGCATTGTGTTGTCAACTTGCTTGATAACATCATGTTCCCAACACTAACGCAGGTCATCCAGATCTCCCTCACAATCCCAGTCAACAGCTGTAGTTGTGAAAGGTCATTCAGTGTGTTGAGAAGGCTCCACACTTGGCTGAGGTGCACAATGGGACAAGACAGGTTCCATCATCTTGCTATTTTATCAGTTTAAAAGGAAGAACTTTATAAGCTGAGTCACAGTCTAGTGATTGACCGCTTTGCAAAAATGAAAAATAGGAGGTACACTTTAATGCTCAAAAAATAAAAGGAAAACTTAGTTTGGGTTGAGTTAAACTTTCCCCTGAACTAAAACTCTGAAACCTAGGAATTAATGATTACTTCAGAATATGTATAAGGAAACTTTTTTATTTTTAAAGTCGGTAATGTCTTATTTTTTATAGCTGCAATGTTGAAAATGTTCAGGTTTGTTAAAACAAATATGCTCTTACACTCATTAATACCTCAACTGGTAATTTTGGTCCGCATGCCTTTTAAGAGGTACCATACAGCATCACCAATAATGTACTGTGTACGGCAACATTTCTTGTCATATTGCCTCTTTGCATGTTCCACAGACTCCCCCAGTGCATCTCTGGTGATTTGTTGTGCCAGTTCCAGTCTTTCTCTGAGGTGCTTGAGATACTCTGGGGCTGAAGGGGCAGTGTCAAGGTCCGGGTGCAGGCTGGCCACCAGATCCACTGGCTCACTCACTTCCTGGCCAAACATCATGAAGTTGGGAGAAGTTGAAGTTGGCTTTGTTGCTCTATAGGCCATGTAAGCATAAGGGATCATGAGGTCCCAATCCCAGTGCCAACGCTCAGCTGATGTGGCCAGAACCTTTTGCAGGGTGGCATTGAATCTTTCAACTTGGCCATTGGACCGAGGTCGGCATGGTGTGGTGTGTGTTCTTTCAATACCAAACAGTGTGCTCATTTTCTAGAACACTTAAGACTCGAAGTTTCGGCCTTGGTCACTGTGCAATGTCTGTGGTGCTCCATAACAACACACCCACTCTGAGGCAAGCACTTCAGCCACAGTTACAGCCATGTCATTGGGTAGGGGAAAAGCATCCACCCAATTGTTAAAATAGTCCTGTATCACAAGCACATGCCGGTTGTGTTGCTCTGTTCCGTTTAGTGGCACCATGATGTCCAAAGCAACTTGCTCCATTGGGGCTCCCACTCCAACAGTACCCATGGGGGCTCATGGTGTCTTAAGTTGCCTAGCTTTGGACGCAGAGCTGGTACAGGTGCCACACCAGACAGCAACATCTTCTCTCATCCGGTATAAGAAGTATCCGGTCTGCAGGCGGGCTATTGCGCGCTCCTCACCGAAATGCCCAACAACCAGTCCCTCATGCATCTGTCTCGTGATATCAGGCCGGAGAACATGAGGCAGCACCACTTGTGGGTAGAACTCGGTGTCGTTCAGGCAGTAGAACCGCCTAACCAGTATTCCATCACGGATGTAGAGCCGCTTCCATTGCTTCCAAAAGGTCTTTGTGGCTGGGCTATATGGTGAGACTGTTACCCATGGGGGGTGCTCTTTGCTGGCCTCCATCCATGCCTTGATAGGTGCAATATCTGGATCAGCTTCCTGTGCTTGTTGTAGCTCCTCCAAGGACCAGCCGCCAAACAGTTCAGTGTTATTTGTCCTAGTGAGGTAGATTCTTGCAGGGGACTTTAAGTTGTCTGTGTTAGCAGAGAGAGCTTTATGCACCCCCCTGGACTCACTGCTGTGAAACCTGGTTATCCGTCTACCCCCACCTGACTCAGCATCGCCTGGTCGATTTCACGCAGCACAGCCTGATGACTGATTTTCACTGGCTGAGGGGAGGGGTTGGACAGATTACAGGGACACGACTGGCGGCAGGGTCGTCTGGAGAGGCTGTCTGCATTGGTGTGCAACCGGCCAGGGCAATGTATGATCTCAAAGCTGTACTTATCGAGTCTCTCGAGCCACCTAGCAAACTGTCCTACGGGCTTCTTCATTTTTGTTAGACACCAAAGGCTGCTGTGGTCGGTGTGGACAATAAAGGGGCCAGGAGATACTGCCACAAAAGTGATGTGAACTCCAACATGGCTAGCAGTTCCTAACCTGACAACAGCCAGATGCATGTCTCGCTCCGCCCAGCTCCACTCACATACATCTGGGAACCCGCTCATTGAAAGTGATTTCCCCAACCGAATTTATGGTCTGTCCAATCAGGACGGAGGGTGGGTGTGTCCTGGAGTGGAGAAGCGACCGTGAGATTCCAACAACAATGGCGGCTCGCATTAAGGAAGCAAGCGTTAGCATTGATGCTGCTATTTCTTCTGTGTTGTCCAATCTATCTGATATTGTTTAATTAAAAGAACATCAGAGAACGGCTTTGAAGGCTTTTGTTGGTGGAAACGATGTTTTCGCCCTTCTCCCGACCGGATTTGGCAAGAGCTTGATCTACCAAATGGCTCCTCCTCTCACAGCGTCACGGGTTAGCTTCGGTGTGAGTGGTTGAAATAGCACGTCAATAAAGATGACAGACAAGTGGCTTATCCAATCATATGCAAGGAGTTTTGATAAGGCCCAGCCTTCAGTAAAGGCAATTCCTATGGCGGGTTCCCAGATGTATGTGAGCGGAGCTAGGCGGAGCGAGACATGCATCTGGCTGTTGTCAGGTTAAGCAGTTCCCGCCGTGTGGTGCAATAGTTCTGTTCAGTCTTGGACAGTTTGCAACTCCAATAGGCCAGCACATGTCTCTAACCTGTTGAACTTGGGAGAGGATGGCACCGATGCTAACATCGCTTGCGTCAGTGTCGGATATCATATTGCCCGGGTCGAGTGGGAACCCCAAGACTGGTGAAGTAGTTAACAGATGCTTGAGTTTATCAAATGCCTTGGCATTCCTCCGTCCACTGAAACTAGGCGTGTTTCTTTGACAGGTTGTGGAGGGGTTCGCCTATGGAAGCAAAGTCTTTCACAAACTGTTAATAGTATGATTCAAGGCCAATAAATCGGTGGACCTCCTGGATTGATGATGGAGTGTGCCACTTCTGCACCTTCTGGAACTTTCTGGGGTCAGTGGCCACACCACCCTCCGAGACAATGTGCCCTAGGTAGGCAATCTGGCGGTGGAAGAGAAAACACCTGGCAGGTTTTAGTTTAAGGTTGGCCTGGTGTGTCATGATTTTCTTAAGAGATCTGACCCACATGCAGTAAACCACCAGGTTTATCCAGGGGAAGAAGGTTAAAAACATCCAGCTTGCAGGATGGCTTCCTGCTGAAAGGCAAAGACAGAAACACAGTTAGGCTCAGTGAAACAAAGACTCAGTAAGACGCAGCAAAACTCAGCTTGGCTAGAGTACCCAAAACTGCTGGCGTGTCAGTCCTGCTCTCAATCTCTGCTGTATCTGGTGATCAGCACTCTGTTGCTTCTCAGACATTATCCGGCGTGGTGGCTGCTTGACTGGAGTGCCTGGCGAGGTTATGATGTCATGCTGCACCAGGCTGGTGAGTCCATGGTAGAGGTCCCTGTAGTGAACATTTCCTCGTACCAGGTTCTCTTGTCCAGCCTCCAGCACCACATTCCGAGTCACTGTCACTGCATGCATCTTTGGTTTGTTTCGGGAATAGAAATAGGGCACTTTCTCCCCAAACAGCCCAATGTGGTGGTTCCCAAAATCAAGGTCAATTCCTGATTCAAGCTAGAGCTATCCAAGGGATTATCAGATCCAGTACTGGTCTCGACTGGGTTCACTGCAGAGGGGGACAGAGTGGTTAGCTGAAGTCCAGGTAATTTGCAGGGTGAGAGAGTGCAGGTCTGTACCTGATCTGGAGTTTGAGCAGAGCGGCAGAGAGGGTCCAGAGGCTGTCAGCAGGCTGAGGGCTTGGCGGAGGCAGAGCTTGGTTTGAGAGTTTGCAGACAACAGGTTTGAGTTTCCCTTTCAGATTCTTCAGACAGCGGGCAGGCAGGTCTTTGACAGGTTTGATTCTCCAGGGTTCTTCAGAGATCAGACTGACAGATTTCCAACAGAGAAACTCTTCAAGGTTTCAGGTTTCAGGCAGGTTCAACCTGGGAAGCAGAGAGGACAAAACAGATTAAATTCAGGTTCAGGTTTTCTGGGAGTCAGAGATTCAGACAGGCTGGTTGGCTCAGGCTTGCTAACCATAACTAGCAAACACTCTGGCGCCGGGGTGTAGCTCTCCGCCTCCTTAAGTACTGGTCTCCTGATGAGCAAACGAGCCGCAGGTGGTGCAGTCAGCTCCAGCTCCAGGAGACCTAGAACGCCCTCTGGTGGAGAAAAGTGGACAGACCTCCAGATCCCAACAAATGGATGGCCTAAGAGAGCCTCATCCCCAGCTATGTCAGCAACCAGAATATGTATGCTCACCTGCCGGTTATCAATGGGTAGAGGAGTGTGAGCCTCACCAAGTACAGGGACGTCACCAGGCCCAACGCCAAGCAAAGTTTCTACCTCTGATTCAATTAAATTTAATTCAGTTTATTTGTATAGTGCCAATTCACAACACATTTCATCTCAAGGCACTTTACAGTTCAACCAGATCATACAGTCAAATTGATTCAAAGTTTTCTATCTAAGGAAAACCAGCTGATTGCATCGAATCATTGACTCGATTGCAATCCCTCACACTAAGCACACTTGTAGCGACAGTGTAGAGGAAAAACTCTTTCAGCAGGAAGAAAGCTCCACCAGAACCAGGCTCAGTGTGAGCGGCCATCTGCTGAGGCCGACTGGGGTTCAAGGAGACAGAAGCAGGGATACAAAAAGCAACTGCAAAAGGCGGCCCCATCCAGGAAACACACAGCCAGGCAGACGAGCTCCGAGCCGGCTCCCATGCCAGAGGACGACGAGAGCACATCCAGCCAGTCATGGTCAGAGAATCAGGACCACACTGGAAAACAGGCCAATCTCCAGCATCTACAAACAAAGGTGTTGACGGCAGCAGCACAGCTGACATTTCTCTCCAGGATGGTGTCACAGCCAAACAGGAACAGACGAGGCAAAGCTACTATAAGAAAATGCAGAGAGAGCAGAACGTTAGAGATTGAACTAACAGATTCTGCAGAGTGGGAGAATAGAGACAGAATCAAGCAAAATGATGAAATGGGAGTCCCTATTTCCTCCAGCAGTCTAAGCCTATAGCAGCATAACTGTAGAGATAGCTCAGGATAACCTGAACCACTCTAACTATAAGCTTTATCTAAAAGGAAAGTTTTAAGCCTACCCTTAAAAGTAGACAGGGTGTCTGCCTCACGGACTAAAACTGGTAGAAATCCTAGGAACCACTAGTAAACCTGCAGATTGAGAGCGAAATGCTCTTTTAGGAACACAATGAAAAATCATATCTCTGATATAGGAGGAGCTTGGCCATTTAAGGCTTTATATGTGAGGAGGATTTTAAATTTTATTCTGGATTTAACAGGAAGCCAATGAAGGGAAGCCAGGATAGGTGAGATATGATCTCTCTTTTTCATTTTCATCAGAACTCTTGCTGCAACATTTTGGATCAGCTGAAGGCTTTTAACTACAGTCTGTGTACTTCCTGATAGTAAAGAATTATAATATTTCAGCCTTGAAGTAACAAATGCATGGACTAGTTTCTAAGCATCATCCCTGGACAGGATATTTCTAATTTTTGCAATATTCCTCAGATGAAAGAAGGAAATTCTAGAAACCTCTTTGATATGGGATTTAAATGACAGGTCCTGATTAAAAACAACACCAACATTTTTTACCTTATTATCTGAATTCAGTTTAATCCTCTCTAATGGCTGCAGTGAAGGCTGAACATCTGGATGAATGCCGTTATAATGGCACAGAGGCATCACACTTCTCCATGCCCCACTGTCCAAAACAGCACACACTTCCAGTTCATACACAAACATGTTAATGCAAATTTCTTGACCTTGGGCTTTAAGATGAAGAACAGCAGACTCACACTTTCCATATATCTCGTCTCTCAACATATGGAGGGCCTCACCCAATCTGAGGACACGCTGTGTCAGTGCAATAGCTACTGCAGTTGCATGCTCTGACAAAGGGCCGTATGCAGTCTCCATCTCCTCGACCAGATGACTGTAGTCCCACTGTGAAGACCGAGGATTTCTTTGGACGATTGCTCCCGCAGTGCCCACCAGACAGGCAGCTTTCGAACCAGTGCAGGAACTCTTTCCATGGGGTAGTGCCATCATACTGACCAGGACGTAAAGTGGGGACTCACCCTGTTGTCGTAGTCTTCCTCATTCTCAGACGAAGGCTGGTAGTGTTCAGGGTGAGGCTGAAGTGTCCATGTCTTGGCCTTCTCACACTTGCTTGATATGTCCTTTAACTGTACAGTCCAGCTAGGACACGGTCCTGCTATATTTCCATAATCATTGTCTTTTATAAGGTCACAGCAAGGGGTAGGTGGCCTTGGACAGAAGGAGCATGGAAATAATAGTTGGTAGGTGTGCTCCGGATGAAACTTCCCAGGTGGGCAGAGGAAAAGGGGTTTGTATTCGGGTGTTACAACTGTGGAAGCTAGGTAGGTTGTGCAGCAGGGCAGGAGTCTGGTGGTTTTGCACATGGAAACAGGGTTCTGGGCTTTGTATGTAGGCCACGTTGTCTTGGCAGTAACTGACCATATTAGCACCAAGAAAGGGGTTTCTGTCAGATAACCTGGACGGTGTTGGCTCATGGGGAGTTTCAGTCACTCTCTGCCTTATTTCAACTAGTTCTTCTTCACATTAGAAGGGGTTATACCATGCATATTTTCCATTTGTTTTCATTCATATAGTCCTTTTTTATTTCTCCTTGACTTTCATTTACTGCAGTCAGCGTCAGAAAAGGGTCACAGTGGCTGGTCAAGTTATTAAAAATATTCTTGGCGGCAGAGCAACGGCTAGCAGCAGACTTTTTTTTTTTAGCTTAACTTTGTGGCCAGGTGCAGGCAGCAGAGCAACGTCTAGCAGCAACCATTTTTTTTTTTACCTTAAGTTCGTGGCCAGGTGCAGTCAACAATGAACATAGCTAATTGTCCAGGCTTACCTCGCTGCTTCTTTCTTTGCTCACCACTGGTGTTCTGTTAAACGTGAGAGGGTCCCTTTGTGGTCGCCAGTGTTAACCTTTCCTGTTCTGCTCCAAGACCGTAGTCGAGAAGCACAAGGGAGAGTTTCCTTCGGGGCTGAAGTTGACTCGAAATTTGGGGCTAACTCCCGCAGTTAGCGAACAACTCACACGGAGGCTCTACTTTGTCCATGAGAAGTGACAGCCTTTATTCACCCACAACTGTGACATAAAGTGTACATTCACTGCTAATTCTCTATTAACTTCTGCTAACCAGTCTCTTGCTGTTGCTGCCATTCACCAATGCACTCGCTCCACTTCCACTCGCTGTCTCTGTCATGATGGGTCAAAGATACAAGCCCATATGCAGAACATCACGGAGGCAGGGTAAAAATTTTACAGAGTTTATGGAGTTGGCACAAAACACAAAATCATAAACTGGATCTGGAACTGGTTCGGGCTGGTTAACTGAAATCTTGACTGGGACCAGAGACTGTTGGTTAGCAGAGTTCACGAGGAGCTAAAGCGTCTAGCTTCAGACCTAGCATAGCAGACCATGATCAGAGCCTCCAGCTCTTCACAGAGAACAGCAGGGGATATCCACATAGGATTCTTCAGGTTGATCCCATATAGGAATCTTCAGGTACATTCCACATAGGAAACTTCAGGTAAATTCCACATAGGAATCTTCAGGTTGGCTCACCAGGGCTGATTGGCAGGTTAAGCTCACCCAGAGCTTCAGGCTAGAGACAGGTTTCCTGTGAGGCAGCTCACCCAGAGCTTCAAGGCTAGAGACAGGTTTCCTGTGAGGCAGCTCACCCAGAGCTTCAAGGCTAGAGACAGGTTTCCTGTGAGGCAGCTCTCCCAGAGCTGCAGGCCAGAGACAGGTTTCCTGTGAGGCAGCTCACCCAGAGCTTCAGACTAGCGACAGGTTTCCTGTGAGGCACAAACAAAGGAGAGTTAGAATCTGATCTCTCACTAGAGACAACTAAGATTCTGTCCACACAAAGTCAAAACGAACACGAAACGCTGATATT